GTAGACGCACCCGATTGAATTTTCGCTAATTTCTCAGACTTTCTAACTAGTACAAATCGTTTACTTGTTAGATATCAAATAATTCCATAAACTCAAAAGAAAAGAAATAACAGTTGAATATTTCTCAGTGCCAGTAAACTTCTATGCAATCTTGTAGAAAATGGGTAGGACAAACATAGAATCTTGGAGCATTAACGGCTAAAGCTAAACTAAGCAATGAACTAAATTTAGTATTCAAAATTTTGGAATACAACTTTAAAAGCGCATCAATGCCGAAAAAGAGTTGACTAATGTGTCAAATACTTGATTTCATTCTGGACAAGATGTTCGCCACATCCAGAAGGGTTAGCTTCCTCACTGGGAGGGCACAAGACATTTTTAACTATGGAAAAGTGGAAATCGAACTCCGCTTTCCACTTGGAGCAGGTTGCTTGTATCCACTTCTCAGCCACACTGGTCGACACACTATCCTGGCTATCTCTTTCGTGTTCCTCTATGGCAGGACGAATCTCGTCGTACAAGGAGTTCAGTACACTGGTGGCTTCCTTTTTAAGTTCCTGCAAAAATATTGATACATTAATTTCTATAACCATCTGTATCAATCATTGGCCGTGGATTGTAGAATAACCAATATTGATGTTGCTCCTAGTCATTGTGTAAGTAGTGTTTGAAAAAAAATTCCTACATAAATATTAAATACTATGTTTTTTTTCTTTACTGACGAAAATACAAGCCAGCATGAAAAACGTAGAAACCAGTCTATTAAAATGTGCACCTCATATCTTATTATTTCTTCTCGTGCTTTCTTTGATGCAAAAAGTTCAACAACAGGTTTGTAGCTGACTTGTTTCCTGCCAAATGTCTTTGTTCTTGGCTTCAATTTTTGCTGGGATCTTTTCTTAGAGGAAGTGTTTGGTCCAATGTTATAATTCCGGCAGGCACTGTTACTTCGGATACGAGATATCATTGAATTTGTTTGAGAAAACACCTGTCCTTTGTCCCCCACACTAAGGTCTGTAGCTTTGTTCCTTTCGGCAGCCATTGGTTTCGCTGACATAGGCGGACTAACTGAGTAATTAGATTGCGTGACAGAAGCAGCCTCAAACTTGACTATAGATCCACCACCATTTTCCATTAAAGAGGGGTCATTCACTGTTGATTCATGTTTGACAGCGATCATCGTGAAATCAGGCCTTGGAAAAGGTTCGTCCTCAGCAGAATCATAGAGTGGGATATTTTCAACTGTGTATCTGCAATACAAATACCAGGTGAAAATGTAATAACCCAGGTCTGGGGAAAAAAGGTCCAATAAAACTGACGCAACCAATAAGTATCCATTTGGTTTGAAAAGTGTATTGAAAGCTCTACCTTAAAACTGATAAAGTTTACATTAATGTGTACAGGCTTTAGAAATCGACACCCCCCACCCCCACACCCCAACAAATGAGTATGAATATAAAGAAAAGAAAGGTCAAACTAAGAAGAAAAAAGAAAATCAAGACAGAGTTGGCAATCCCAAACAATCCCATCTTCCTGTTAGTTTCTGTTCTTCTCGTCAGCTCCACTTCAAGTAAGATGAACACAAACTGCTCTAAATATAAACTCCTTACTATAAAACAAATGCAGTTTCAAAACAGCAAGGCAAGCAAGAAATCTACCTGTCATCTCCATCTTCCCAAACATGGTAATATTCCTGCAAAACGTCGAAAGACAACTTATAGTTATGGTATTTAATAAAATCACATCATCACAGTTTCAAAGCAAAGACAAAATGNAAAAAAAAAAAACAAAAAAAAAAAGAGAAGTAGCAGTATAAGCAGATGCAGTTGGAGCAGCACTGCAGCACTACTACTAGCTCTATATCTATAAGCAGCTGAAAGAAGAGAGTTAGCAAGATGCACCTATGAAAGTTAGGGTGATGCATTCTTAGTAAAAGAGGCATGACACTATAATTTCAAATAAACAGTTAATAATTGAGCTCATCCTGAAGAAGTGAATTGCAATTTGAGGTTTCTAAGAGAAAACAATGTTTTTATTTATGCTTTTGATTCCCCATTCAGGGAAAACACATAATTACTTGAGGGGAACAAGATACTCCATAGTCCAAGGAGAAAAAGGATCATCTCTACAAATAGTACACAACACATATTTCAGGAACCTTTTTCAATAAGTTCATCTTCTTCTTTCTCTCACAACAGAAGCTAAAGCATAGGAGGTTTCTATCTTCAAGAATTGCAACGAAGTAATGTCAGAGAACTCACAAAATTATGTATTATATTTGTTTTAAGATTTCCAGGAAGCACATTGAATAGAGCAAGCACAAAACGTTCAGTAACAATTGAATATGATATCAAAGTTTTCTATTGCAATGCACCCAAAAATCGTATGCAGGAATATGAACATATAGATCGTTTTATTCAAATCTGTTGTCCTTTATTCTCAAAGAAAATTTACTTGATGGTTAACTGTCATCAATTCAAATCGTATGCAGGAATATGAACATATAGATCTTTTTATTCAACATGAACATTACTGTTTAACGAAGATTAATACCTGGAAACCATGAGACTTTGCACCAAGAAATAAAGAACAATTAGCTGCCCCACAGAGACAACGAACAGTGAGACCTCCATACCATTCGAAGTTATAGTCATAAGCCAGTTCAGTTCCATCAACAATATCTTCCTTCGCAAATATTCCAACTCTCGTCTCTCCTAACACTGTCCACTTTCTTGTCTCACAATTTGGTTGACTGCACACAGGTTCAGCAACAAACAAGTGATGTTTGGCATACTCCATGACTCAAATTTAGCATGTCATCAAGATCTGCAGCATAACTAAACTTTCAGTGTTGTGTTCTGCTTGGCTTACCATGAATGATTTATGAATCTCGCAAGGCTTCCTTTCTTTGTCGCATCAATGAAATGATTTGCATTCAGAGATATAATATATGCATCCTTAAGACCTGCATCACTTAACAGATGGAGAAATGAACACATCCAACCAAGACAAGATGAAATCTTCTTTTTTCAAACTAATTTTTTTACCTTGAGCTTCATAAGTTTGGGATCTTTGCTTGGCTTCTTCCGATGAAATGACTTCTCCACAGTATTCTATAATGAATTGTCCAGCCTGATCATAGATAAATCAAATTCAAAATGTTGCTTTAACAAGATCGTGAAACTAAACAATTTACTACAACTTCATTGAAAATTTATCACTGCAGCGAAAAATGGATGTAATGTGGAACAGATTTAAGATTTAATACTTTCCAGGATAAAATCTATGTAATGTAGATGCTCATATGTCAAAATTATATAAACAATTCGAGTTGTCATGGCAAAGAGGCTTGTTCAAAAGGCTACCTTTATTTTCTGATTAGCTACAAGACCCCAACCACGCCCTTCAGTTTTAAACAACTTAGTCTCTGCATATTCACATTTCTGAAATTTCTGTAAACAAAAAACAGTGGGTCAGATCCTTCAGATCTTAGCATCGCACATAACACAAATATTTTATATAGTACAAAGAAACCACTCAAAAAATGCAAGTTACAACAGCAATGCTAATAAGGGCCAAGTTCTAGCCAGTGAGATTGTTTTTTCTATTCTCTTCAAAGACAAAGAAGTTGAAATCAAACTTATCCAAATTTCAGACTACAATATGCAAGCAAGAACAAGAATAAACCGAGCAAGAAAAGTATGTAATATTCAAACTTATCAAGGAGTATTATGTCGCTCTTGTAAAATATGGGGTACAGATTAGGGCATATCTGTTAGAGGATTCTTATGCTGCGATATATTAGCCATTTGATTTGCTTCTGCATTTAGTTTGCTCCTAGACTTGTGCACATATGACACACCATTGTGGACCAATATATAAAATATTAGTACATAACATGGAATCTTGTGGTTTTTCACTTTCCTTCTTCCAGTTGATCATCTCTGAAAACAGACTCAACAAAGTCCCTTAGGGCTGTTCACGGTTAACATATTATGGGTGATTTTCCAACACCACCTCTCATACAAGGTGACTTGAATTGGCCAATCACTATGCAGTGATAAGGCGAAAGAATTTCGGTCCACAGCTGAGGATGTTCATATCGATCTACTATGCACTTCTGCATCTAGCAGATGGTCAAAATCATATGGGTCAAGTTAATTCTTAA